TTATAGTTTTACAAAAGTCTATATCACAACACTAGGTAACAACTGCACAAATTACAGCAAAAGCATAATTTTACCTGTCAATAAATGTTTATCACCATGGTTTCTAAAGCCATGGTTTTATGCATATTATTAAATAAGTGTAGGCATAGAAACGGTTACAATGATTCCATGGATAGAATCTGTTTTTCTGTGCTGTAGGGTCCAATGGTGGTTTCAATTGCTGATTTGTAGTCCATAAGCGGTACCATTCGATGTCTCGGTAGTTTCAACTTTCCCTTTTTACTCCAGTCACATAATTCTGATATCATTGCTTGGGCTTCCTCAGCTGTGAACAATAATCATAATTAATCAGCATCACATGACCATGTTGATCAAGCTGATTGGTTGGTTGGCTGATTGGATATTCTGCTTCTTGGTGTACCAATCGTTGTCACAAAAATAAAATTCCCATCTATCGAGTATCAGAAAACTGACATGTTTGTATTTTCAGCTATGACAAAGCAGGAGTATTTTTGCACCCCAGTCTCGCTACTTCCGGGAAAGTGGTCTATATAATTCTATAGAGATAGAGGGCGCTATCTACTATCATTTGACACACAGAATAAAAATAAAACACATTTGTAGAAAGATTAGTTATCACTGGGTTTTATTTTGGCTAGTCTCTCTGATAAGTGAAATCTAGTAAAATACAGTAAAACACCATGTTACACTGGAAAATCTAAGAATTAAAAAACGTAGTTGATATGGTCCAATATCAATATAGTGAAATTGAATGCTTTTACACTAAAAGTCCTAAAATTAAAACCATGTTTCAGGGAGAAATAAATCATGTTTGAGTTTTTATACTTATATGAAAACTGACATGTTGACAGATTCTAAAAAAAGTCACTGTACTCACATTTTCCATTTTTATCATGCCATCTTGACATCCAGTAACCCACAACTTTGATATCATTAAATATCAATAATCCAGTCGGCAAGGTGATTGGTTGCCGTGACATCCCACCATAGGTTACCATGGTACCACCATGTCTGTGGTTTAAAGAAATAGATAATTTGGAGTGTGTGTGCACTGATTCCTTATTTTCAAATACTATAAAGATTTCATAAAGTGATATCAGCTTTACCTATATTATATTGGTTTGTTCCTACTTTACAAATACCCACTCTAGATATTTCATCAAAGTTATAGCAGCTTTACCCATATGATATTGGTTTGTTCCTACTATACAAATACCCACTCTGGATATCTCATCAAAGTGATAGCAGCTTTACCCATATTATAATAGGTTTGTTCCTACTTTATAAATACCCACTCTGGATATTTCATCAAAGTGATACAAGTAGTAGCTTTACCCATATTATTGACTCCCATGTGCGAAGCACAAAATGGGAGTCTTTGCAGTTAGTGTGTCTGTATGTGTGTATGTGTGTATGTGTGTATGTGTGTATGTGTGTATGTGTGTCCGACTGTTCCACTGCTATCTCAAGAACCATACATCGGTTTTTGATGAAACTTGGTGCATAGATGCTCTGGGCCAATGCGCAGATTT